TCCGTCTGAAAAACGAGCAAATGAACTATCTGACCATTGAGCTTCGTGACGCCGAGAGCAAGGCCGAGGCGCTACAGGAACAAGCCAAGCAAGCTGTGGACCAGGCTCAGGCGGAGGCCAACTTGCAGCGCTACCAGAAGATGTTGGCAGAACGTGATGCCATTGTGCGGGATACCAAAACATCGGTATGTTTGTCTGTGCTACTTACTCACTCCCGAGTTTCATGCTTGCACAATCATCAGGCAAAAGTATTATTCTGATATCAAACAGGGAATGGGTTCTTGTTATAACTTGTAAAGGAAATTAGGTGAAGTCTATATTGTAGTGAAGAGGTAGGGGAAGTGCTCAGACTAGGAGAAGGGAGCAGCGGTCTACACAGTAGGTCAAGTCCTCTCATGCGCACTAAGTGCTCAATGTCCGGAAAAGGCAGAGCTCCTTACAAACAAGGTGTCGATGGACCTGATTGTGGTCACAACTGCTTACAACTAGCTTGAACACTTGTCTTACAACTAGCTTGAAGACTGGTCTTTCAGCTAGCTTGAAGACTGGTCTTACAACTAGCTTGAACACTGGTCTTACAACTAGCTTGAACACTGGTCTTTCAACTAGCTTGAACACTGGTCTTACAACTAGCTTGAACACTGGTCTTACAACTAGCTTGAACACTGGTCTTACAACTAGCTTGAAGACTTGTGTTACAACTAACTTGAACACTGGTCTTTCAACTAGCTTGAACACTGGTCTTACAACTAGCTTGAACACTGGTCTTACAACTAGCTTGAACACTGGTCTTACAACTAGCTTAAACACTGGTCTTACAACTAGCTTGAAGACTGGTCTTACAGCTAGCTTGAAGACTGGTCTTACAACTAGCTTGAAGACTGGTCTTACAACTAGCTTGAAGACTGGTCTTACAACTAGCTTGAAGACTGGTCTTACAACTAGCTTGAACACTGGTCTTACAACTAGCTTGAAGACTGGTCTTACAACTAGCTTGAACACTGGTCTTACAACTAGCTTGAACACTGGTCTTACAACTAGCTTGAACACTGGTCTTACAACTAGCTTGAACACTGGTCTTACAACTAGCTTGAACACTGGTCAAACGGATGCATGATCAGAAAAATTCAGTACTGCACTGTGACATGGTGCAATGGATGTGTTCCTACTGATTCGTGTGTGTGTTTGTTGTTTGGTGGATGGGAGATTTAGTTTTATATTAATTGTGGTGGATGGGGGATTTGGGATTATTTAATCCTTCAAATACGAACATATGGATATATCCATACTGGTATGTAGAGCACACAACTTCAAAATTTCGAAACTCCAGCTACAGCTGTTGTTGTTGCTGATGCTTCTGTGGTTGCTGCTACTGTTGCTGCTACTGGCGAGCCTACCGCAGTTGCTGAAGTGGAGGAAGCTGCTACCAAGGCCGTCACAAGCGTCGCGAATAATGAAGGATCCCTGTCCCCGATCGTGGTTTGTTGCAGAATCAAAAAGTCTTTCATTGTAGTTACACTGAAATGGCAGCAAATGCCTGGAAATGCTTGCAATTGGCTTCAATTTTTGAAATTGTTTCCGGGGGAGGGCCCCTAACCCCACTTCCATGGTGATGGGCCTGGCTGCTGCATCCATTGGTAGCTGCTGCATCCATTGGTAGCTGCTTACACGGTTCCTACTACTGTCTGTTATATCTTCTTCTGCTAATAATGGTGATGGTGGTGATGCTGATGCTGCTGGTCCTGGTACCTCTGCCATTGTTCCTTCAGCACCTGCTCATGCGTATGTTATCGCTGCTGTTGCTGCTGTTGCTGCTGCTGTTGCTGCTTTTGTTTGTTCCGCTGCTGCTGCTGCTGCTGCTGTTGCTGTTGCTGCTATTTGTTCTGCTGCTGCTGCTGTTGTTGTTGTTGTTGTTGTTGTTGTTGTTGTTGTTGTTGTTGTTGTTGTTGTTGTTGTTGTTGTTGTTGTTGTTGTTGTTTGTTCCGCTACATACACAGCTGGAGGCTCTAGAGTTGAGAATGAAAACTGTCGAGGAGGTAAGTCAATATTGTTCTTGCACTCCTCTGTGCTTCTATTCGTTCTGAGTGTCTGTGTGTCTGTGTGTCTGAGTGTCTGGGTGTCTCAGTGTCTGTGTGTCTGAGTGTCTGAGTGTCTGGGTTTCTTTTGACTGGGTATGCAGATGAGTACCTGTAGGCCGGTGGTACATTATATGGGGGTATAGTGTGATGGGGGTATAGTGTGATGGGGGTATAGTGTGATGGGGGTATAGTGTGATGGGGGTATAGTGTGATGGGGGTATAGTGTGAGGGGGGTATAGTGTGATGGGGGTATAGTGTGATGGGGGTATAGTGTGAGGGGGGTATAGTGTGATGGGGGTATAGTGTGAGGGGGGTATAGTGTGATGGGGGTATAGTGTGATGGGGGTATAGTGTGATGGGGGTATAGTGTGAGGGGGGTATAGTGTGATGGGGGTATAGTGTGAGGGGGGTATAGTGTGATGGGGGTATAGTGTGAGGGGGGTATAGTGTGATGGGGGTATAGTGTGAGGGGGGTATAGTGTGATGGGGGTATAGTGTGAGGGGGGTATAGTGTGATGGGGGTATAGTGTGAGGGGGGTATAGTGTGAGGGGGGTATAGTGTGATGGGGGTGTAGTGTGATGGGGGTATAGTGTGATGGGGGTATAGTGTGATGGGGGTATAGTGTGATGTGGAAGTGCAAGATGCAAGACGGTACACCATTGTACAGAGTGCACTGGGCAGGGAATCCTTTTTTTTGTGAAATGGAATATTGGTTTGACTCGTAAGTCTCTCCACGTAGCTCTCTTGATATTGCGTAAAATGGCACTGAGCACACAACACTCAGCACACAACACTCAGGACACAGCACACAACACTCAGCACACAACACTCAGCACACAACACTCAGCACTCAGCACACAACACTCAGCACTTGCTCTATTCAAATACGAACAGTTGAGTTCAGTCAGATCTTTCCAATCCATCTCCTCGCTCCATTAGCCGGCAAAAGTTCGTAACGGGTACCTATTCTTCATTCGTACAGAAAAGATGATCTGTGGCTCTGGTAAGCCGTCGTATTTGTTGTTCTTTGGGGATTTTACCGTGTACGGTTCAGTGGAGTGCTGGGGAATTTGGAAATTCAAAAACTTCTTCTAGTGGGTTTCAAACCGCTCAGTGTACTGTTGTAAGTGGAGTTAAACAGCCTGGATTTAAGTGGTTTTTCCCCAATTCTGTGCTTACGGGGAAAAGCTGAAAGCCTGGCCGAATCCTATTCCTGTGGCGGCTTGTCTTTAGGAGAAATATATGTCGTAAACACAATCAGAAGACCATTCCTGCGCAGCTTAATCACATCACTGCTAGTAATCACATCACTGCTAGTAATCACATCACTGCTAGTAATCACATCACTGCTAGTAATCACATCACTGCTAGTAATCACATCACTGCTAGTAATCACATCACTGCTAGTAGTCACATCACTGCTAGTAATCACATCACTGCTAGTCACAGTGCCGGCATAGATGCACAGTAGCTTTCTCAGCAGCTTTCTCAGCAGCTTTCTCTACGCACTGTAAGACCAGTAATAAATAAATATATTAAATTTCACGGTTCGCGTGAGACTCGGCTGGAAGCCGAGTTTTCCGCATCCGCCGTGGGAACGCCACCACCCTCTAGGATCAAGGCGCAGATGCAGCGCCTAAACGGTGGGAGGCGAGTAGATCAGACCCACCACCAAGTAAGACCAGTAATGTTAACGAACATTTAAATCTAACGAGTTAAAGAATTTGAAAGAATCGTTAACATTTGAAGTCGTTATGTGCAAAACGATATGTACATGTACAGTCATTTGCCGGTTTTGAGACAGAATTCGTTAGAATTTCAAGTCGCTAAACCCGCGAAAATGCGGAGATGGTTAACTTTAATTGATGTTATAATATCAGGTCTTACGGTATGTTTTGTCTATGTCATTGTCAGGAAAGAAAATCACAGCTGCTCGCCAATATTGCCAAGGACGACGTCATAGCACGGCTGCAGGTAAAGATGGCAGAGCTGGGTGAACGGAATGACCATCTGGAAAAACTCCTTGCCAGAGCAACCCAAGAACAAGAACAGGTGAATAGGTGATCCAAACTGGCTGATGTGTGTGTGTACAGGTTCCTGCACGAGTACGAGGGCAGTACTGCGGAATCCAGCACGCGCCGCGATAGCGGCAAGGGCTGGATGAACAGCGGTACTGGCCGAGTATGAGTGACTGGAACGTGTTTCCCGTGTGCACCCAAGCCAAAGAGCATGCATGCACACGTGTACACAATGTAATCATGTATATAACTCGCTCTTTCCGTTGTCCTTGTATTTACGAAACACGCGCCAAGTTTGCGAGCCAATGAACGCAGTGGATTCCGTTCCTGCCCGTCGTCAAGTGACGACGCAGTGACGACGGGCAGTGGAATCCGTTCCTGCCCGTCGTTACTTGACGACGGTCAGTGGATCCAGTTCCTTCATCTTTGAGCAGGCAGGACCGCGCTTTCTAGCCCGCGCAGTTTCACTGTCATTGGTCGACTCCAAGGCGACAATCACGCGACACACGGGAAGTTGTTATTTGTAGGTCAGTGCATAGTGACTTTTACAACATAACTTGTGCAATACAGATATCCACAATGGTGCAAACCAGTGCTGGGAATGTAGTTTTTCATTACTCTACCCATTCATTAGTTTGAGGAGAAGGTGTGAATCTTTCCGATAATAGTCTTTTAAGGTTTATCAAATGCTCGCTAAGACCACCTCTCTTTGTACGAGCAATTTACACCATACAGTCATGTATAGCTAGCTATACATGTCATGTATAGCTAGCTATACATGACATGAATAGCTAGCTATGCATGTTATGTACCAACAAGAATACTAGGATTAAACGTTTTTTTTACTCTGAGTTTCTCGCACTAAGCGATCACCAGAAAACATGTATTGTACACAATAAAATG